TTCAGGCCACTGTTCTGGACTCCACTGGCTATTATTTGATTACTGAGAGTCTGAAAAGCCATTTAACGTCTTCATTCCAATTCTATTTTCTGTAAAATTGAGGGTAGCATTATTCATCTCAGAAAGAAGTGACAAATAGGTTTAAAAGTATTTTCTCCCATTCTGTAGCTTGTGTCCTCACTTAGTTAATTGTTTTATTTTCTGTACAGAAGGTTTGTAGTTAGATGCACTGCAATTTGTTTATTTTTGCTTTTTGACCTGTGCTTCTGGGGTCATATTCTCCCCAAAATTGCCCAGATCAATTTCAAGAAGGTTTTTACCTATGTTTTCTTCTAATAGTTTTATAGTTTTAGGTTTTATATATAAATCTTTAATCCCTTTCTACTTGGCTTTTGTATGTCGTGTAAGATAGAGATCCAGTTTCGTTCTTCATGTAGCTATCCAGTTTCCCCAGCCTCCTTTATTGAACAGTCAATCCTTTCCTCATTGTGTATTCTTGGCACATTTGTTGAAAATTAATTGACCATAAACGTGTGGATTAATTTGTGGGCCATCTATTCTGTACCATTGGTCTACACATTTATTTAGGGGTTGATATCCAATGTATACCAGGAATTTAAACACCTCTGTAGCAAGAAAACAAATAACGTAATTTAAAAGTGGACTCAGTCTATCAGCAATAAACATGATAAATATTTCTTGAAAGAAGACAAATGGCCAACAGGTAAGTTTAAAAGTGCTCAACTTCACTAATCGTCAGGGAAATGTGAATTAAAACCACAATGAGATATCACTGCATATCTGTTAGAATGGTTATGTTCAAAAAGACAAAAGATAAGTGTTGATGACAATGTAGAGGAAAGACAATCCTTATATACTAGTGATGGAAATGTAAATTAGTATAGCCGTTATGGAAAACAGTATGTAGGTACTTCAGAAAATTAAAAATAGAACTACCATGTGATCCAGTAGTCTTACTTCTGGGTATGGATATGTAAAAGAAATGAGTCAATATCTTAAAGAGATATCTGTAGTATCATATTCCTTCCAGTACTATTCACAATAAACAAGATATATGGAATTGACCTAACTGCCAATTAGCAGATGTATGGATAAAACGTAAATAAAAATATATTTATATATTAATATATAATAGAATATTATTCAGCCTTAAAAATGAAGGAAACTCTCATTTGTGATAACATGTATGAACCTGGAGGACATTACGCTAGGTGAAATAAGTGAGACATCAAAAGACAAATACTATTTGATCCCTCTTATATGTGGAATCTAAGAAAGTCAAAACTTCTAGAAGCAGAAAGTAGAATGTTAGTTGCCAGAAGCTAGGGAGATAGGAGAAATGGGGAGATGTTGATCAAAGGGTGCAAAGTTTCAGTAACGCAGGATGAGTAAATTCTGGTAATCTAATGTACAGTCGGGTAACCACAGTTAACAATACTGTATTATATACTTCAAATTTGCTGTAAGAGTAGATCTTAAATTTTCTCACCACACAACACAGTAAAAGATAACTGTATGATGGATATGTTAAATAGCTTTATTGTGGTAATCATTTTACATTGTGTGTGTATATATATAAACATCAGGTAATAGGGATACCAAAAAGCATGTTTTTAATTTATGTTTACATTAAAAATAAACAATGAAACTAAAGCAGTTGAGAACATTAGATCACTTTATCTCACTTTTTTCATCTATAGTATTTTAGAATGAATTTACTTTTATAAATTTTGAAAGAATCTTTGTGGACTAAATTGTTTACAAATCTTTAATTATATTTAATTTCATTTTAACTCACAGTAACTGAAGTCATTTAAAAAACGAAAGCAAAGGACAGAACCTTTAAACTCCTGTTTTCAAAATATAGCTAGTCTTTAAACAATCAATATTATAATGTATCCTATATAAAAATAGTATTCCAGAGATTGAATCTACCTTTTTCCATTTTATTTTTAATAATCATAATTTATAATGAACTTTTGATACAAACATAGTAATAGAATCATAAATTATTTTGAAAGGTGAATGTTATAAATTCCTGCTGTTTTATATAGAACAATGATGATAATGACTATAAATATAGGCATAACATTTTTTGTTTTATATACCACCGAACAGACACTATCTCATTAATTAGAAGGCTTTCTTGACTCATCTTCAGTTAATATTAAATAAGCTATTTGGATCTCACAATGGTAACTATTATTTACAAGAGATAGTTGCTTTTATAATTTTCTTACATATAGATAAATAATTAGTAATTTACAACTTGATAATATATAATATATAAATTGGTCAATGCACTTTTAGGTAGGTAGATAGATAGATAGATATGGATAGACTCCAGGTTATGTTTTCTAATCTAATCTATATAAACATAACCATTTGAAATCCCTATTGATTCACCACAGCTTTCTGTGCAACATATACTTCCATAATTATAAATTTTAACTATTATGCTCTGGTCAGAAATGAGTAGTAAGCTGATCTGTTTATATCATACATTGATTATTTAAATAAAAGATTTACAGTTGCCTATTTATATCTGAAAATTACAAGAGTAGATATTGTTTCTAAATACATTTTTGAAATTAGAGGTATAGTAATTAGAAAGGTTTAGTAATAGGGAATAAAGTGACTGTAGACCAAGATAAGAAGAAAAGGAGATATGTATAAATATTCAAACATCCGAATTAATATTACGTTTACAGAATATTTACATCATATTAAATTTTATAGTGCCACTTTTCCGTTATGTCTGTGTTGAATGTGTTCCTGATAATTGCTAATTTTTCTATAACAAATACAAAAATAACTGTATGAGTTCATATCCCTGCCTATTGTAGTAAAAACCTTAGATGGATTTATGAGGTTGTATATTCAAGGTGAGTGTAATGTGAAAATTGTATTGTTTTAATTGCTGAAAACATGTCACTTGACTTGAAGAGCTTATTCAAATAATTTCTTTTTAATATGAAAGATCTGCTATTTTAAGAAGGTGTGAGTACACCAAAACATCAAGATAACATATTTGTGGGCACATGTGTCAGGACAGTCACATTTACCTTAACGTTATTCTACATTTGTCTGATCATCAGCCTCTGACACAGAAAATCCTTACAACTTGTTAACTCTCAGTATTAGCTGTTATGCTAAATTGCCTGATGAGTATGGAGCATTAGCTTTTATTCATCTTTCACTGATAACACATAATATATTTTTCAGCTTAAGAAATTCATTAATGAATCAAATTTAATTTACAGACTAAATAAAATCCTCGTTAAGCCTGACAAATGGTAGCCTCAGGTAAACACAACGTATTTTTACACTAAATCAAAGTGAGTTCTGCTCTAGATGTTCTTTATGTTGCCAGTATCCTTGCAAGTATTCTGAGGTCACATCAGAGAACAGAACATCTCCGTAAGGAATTAACAGAAAAATCTAGCCTTGAGGTTATATTTCTGAAATGAATAAACAAGAACTTACAACACGGGAGATAATTAGAGTATCACATGTTATAGACTTAGTGCCAATATTATGGGTAGGAAAAAACATTAGTTTTTTATAGAAAAATACTTAAGAATAAATTTTTGCATTTAGAACGTTGCTGAGTGAAATTCACGGTAATTAGTCCACTGTGAATATGAGTATCTTTTTCAGAATTATAATTAATTTCAACATGTTTGTTTTTCCCCATGAATTAATCAATTCAGATTTATTTAGCCTAATTGCCACAAAAGTGCCCAAGTTTGTATTCATATTTTTTTTTCTCTTTTTCTGTGGTTTAGAAAGATTTATTTATTTACTTATTTATTTATTTTTGTGGGGACATAGTCGATGTGTGCATTTATGGAAACATGAGATATTTTGAAAAAGGCATGTATTGTGTAATAATCACATCAGGGTAAATGGGATATTCATCACCTCAAGCATTTATCGTCTGTGCTACAATCCGTTTATGATCTTTAGTTATTTTTAAATGTACAATTAAATTATGTTTGACTGTAGTCACCCAATTGTGCTGTCAGATACTAGGTCTAGGTCTTATTCATTCTTTCTAACAATTCTTGTACCCAGGAACCATCCTCACTTCCTCCCCTCCCTACCCCTCATTCCCCTCCCATCTTCTGGTAACCATCTTTCTACCCTATAGCTTCATGGGTTTAATGGCTCCCATAAATAAGAACATGCAAAGTTTGTCTTTCTGTACCTTATTTCACGTAACATGATAACCTCCAGTTTCATCTTATATTTATGTTTTAATAGTGGTATGTCATTATTCTTTTTACAAATTTAAAGTCATTATTTTATAGTATAAGATACTGACCTTTGTGATAAGTAATCCATGAAGATTGTATCATTATTTGGCTGAACAAAAGGACATGACACTTAGTTCCTAAAATGGTTTTAATAAGTAGTAATATTATATTAACTTATACAAAATAAATTCAAATACTCATTTTAATATTTAAATATTAACTTTTTACTAATTTGTTAGGCTCAGATAAAGCTTTTCAATACCACTTTTCATGCCTTTAAAATGAATGTCATCATAGTCAGTGAATTTATTTTACAACTGCCTAATATACTCTGTGGTTATATTTTCTAAAATCTTTTTTTTTTTTTTGTACTGGAGTGAGTCTTTCCTATCAAATAGTCTTTCCTACTTGTGTTCACATTGGCAATATCCTGTGGACCAGTTAGTGTTGCTTCAGCAATATTTAACTTCTAACTAGAAATTACGCTGTATTCAATCAAATTTTAAATTAGTTAATATGAGCAAGCTGAATAGATTGATTTTAATGTCTAGTTTCTAAAAACTGTACTACAGATATTTTCTTAATAGGCCTAAAGCCCCCAATTAAGCAAAACCTTATTCAAATCTGTATAACAGGAACTGAAATAAAATTAGTGTTGATGTTGATAATAATTTAACTTTGCGTAAGCTTACTACTTCTTTTCCTTTCTTTTGACTTCAGATGCAATAACAGAACCCAGTGTGCAGTGGTGGCAGGTCCTGATGTTTTTCCAGACCCGTGTCCAGGAACCTATAAATACCTTGAAGTGCAGTATGAATGTGTCCCTTACAGTATGTATACTCCTATACTTTTCTTGGAAAGACAAAAGATATTAAACTGTGTTTTGCATGCATTGACAAATATTCTCTATGAAAACATAAATCACGTAAATTAAATGAAAAAATGGGCTAATATTAATTTTTGACAATCATAGACCCTCCCCGCCATCAGAAGAATTAGATATTGCCTACCCTATCCTACAGCGTTTACTTGTGATTATTTCTGTATATGAATACCTATTCTAACACACTTTTCTTAATTAGTGCAAGAATATAAAACATTTAGAAAAAGGTTAGGGGAGTATTATACCAATTATCCAGGTCCAAGCAGATAAGAAGTGAAAATGAACAATACAATTATATATATAATGTATAGCAATTTATACATTTTGAATTTGATAGAAGAATTATATCTAAGCTTCATCTGCTGTCAACATTTTGAGAATTAGAAATATATTCATCCGGAAGGAGTAGACCAGAAAGAAAAAAATAAAGATTAAAAGATGTAAAGTACTCTTCAGACTATATGTTTTACAGCTTCGAGAATTATGTCTTTGCAATGTTTTTATCAGATATGGTATATGCCAACAATGTGTCTTTTCTCCAGGAATAATGAAGAATCAAAAAATCTAAAATGAAACATTTTCTGACAGCATCTCAAAAAAGAATTATCTAACTCGTTAATTATTTATGAGATTCTTAGTGAAAATCACTCAGAAATTATGTATTTTCATAATAGATATTCAGCTTATCCCAGAGATAGAAAACACCTGGTATCATAAACAAATCCTAGGTTTCGACTTCCTTTGATGTTTCATAAGAAGCAAAGTATCTGGGGATCAGCAAGTTTACTTTTGTAAAGATATTTCTAGGCTGGCCTCATTCACACTTATTAAAGAAGCAGGACATTACTCGTGAGCTGGAAGTATACAAACTTCAGTAATAGAAATTTGGCCAATAAGAGATGAATTGAAATTTTAAAATAGTAGTGAAAACAGTTGAGAGAAAATTTCATTCAGCTTCATTTATAGAATGAATGATTAGAGAAAGTTTATTTTGTGAAGTTTTATAAGCTGATCATTGTTATGAAAAAGCCTTAGAGTACAGAATTTATTGATAGCTCATCTAGCTTACGCTTCTTGTGTTGGTATCTCTATAGGCCCTTCTATTTGATAAAGCCCCTACTGGCCATTATTATTCACTAGTGATATTTTAAGGAGATAAAATTTGTAAACCATCTTGGAATTGGGACAATTATACTTGGGTTGCACAATAAGACCTTTGTGAAATATAAAGACTCCTTTTCTACAAAAGCATTTTATTTAAAAATGCAATAAGGTGAACCTTGCTTTTAAAGACAGTTTTAGGAAACTTACATTCATATTTTTATGTTCATATTTTGAAACAAAAGGTGAAGTAAAATTTCAGATTGTAGATTTTATCATAATTTTTTAATTAAAGAATTTCACAGCTGTCTCTTCAATTTCCTGTATTCCTTTAAAATGTCTTTGAGGATAGCCACTTCAAAATCCTCTGCCAAACTCATTCTGAAATATCATCTACTTAAATCACTTTAATATAAATAACTTGCTCATACACTTTTGCATAAAGGGATTATGGTTTACCACAGATTTCCTTTTTCTAATAAATTTTCAGAGATGGGCAATTTGGTTCCTTAATATCCTATATTTAGAGAATTCTGATCATCCTGAAAGTTTACTGACTACCTTAGAAATATTATATCAAAATATGTATCTAATAATTTCATTAAATAAGAATTATACACTCAGGTATACCCACTTGCCAGTTTATATACTGGTTTAATTTACACATTGTACCCCGATCGGGTCTGTTTAAATTATCTGGAATATATTCCAGTTAAAAGTATAATGTAGAATTGGAATTCATTTAATAAACTTAACATGATTTGAAAAGAAAATAACCTAAAAGAAAGTATAAATCATAAAATAAACTATAGTGACTCATTTGAAAGGCAGATTGGTTTAGGAGAAAGACAACCAGAGATCAGAGAACATGGGTGTGTTTGTTAGTCTGTTTTGTGTTGCTATAAAGGAATACTTCAGACTGGGTAATTTAGAAAGAAAAGAGGTTTATTTGGCTCACAATTCTGCAGGCTGTACAAGCAGAGCACCGGCATCTCCTTCTGGTGAGGCGTCCGGGAGATTTTACTCATGGTATAAGGTGAAGGGGGAGCAGGTACATCATATGGCAAGAAAGGGACCTCCCAGACTCGGTTTAATAACCAGTTCTCACATGAACTCATTACCATGGGGAGGCCATCAAGCCATTTATGAGGGATCTGCCCCCATGACACAATCATGTCCTGCATAGCCCACCTCCAACACTGGAGGTCACTTTTCAGCATGAGATTTGTAGGGGACATACCTACAAACTATATCATTCAGTTTAGAATACAGTCTGATTACTTAACAAAAAGCTAGGTGCTTCTCCTGGATCTCACCTTGTAGACCTTCCTGGATCTATTAATAAATCCTGATTTATTTCAACACTCAGCTATTTTTTTTCTTTTCTTAAGCATAAAATTCATGACTCTCTAATGGTGAAAAGATTTACTTATTTAAAAGAGTTATTGTTTATTGACACTTAACCACATGCCGTTTTCTACATGGATAGTGTTTACATGCATAAGTTATTTAATTTTTACAAGATCCTCCCTGTTATGTGTGAGTATCACCATTTTTCTGAAGAGGAAACTGAAGGTCAGTAGATAAAGTGAAATGTCCCATGTGAAATATAGACTCGCTAGAGAATGGCAAAGACTAGATTTGGGTCTGTTTCTAATACCTGTTCTTAAGGACCTAGCTGTATTTCTCTCCATAACTGTTTTTCATTTATATTTTCATGAGCTATTAAATCTTCTATAGTATTTTTAACTCATAATTTTCATCAGTACATTAATGGTATGTGGTGAAAGAAAGTGCTTCAAGGGCCGGAGCCCTTTTTCTTAGTCCTTTACCTATTTATTTTAAAGACTTTTTGTTCTTTTTCTTAAAGCAGCAGAATCACTACAAACTTTTATTTTCCCAAACACTTTATGAAACTTTATGGTGTAACTAGTTTGTACCATGAAAATACTACTTGCACTGTAGAATGAGGCTCCTAAGTAAAATACTTTTTTAATTTCCTGTATTAGAGAAAATCCTTGTGCTTAACAATATTTTATGATCCTTGATAAAAGGTCCCTATTTCATTAGTGTGAGGGAAGCTTCAGACTTAGGATTTAATATTAATATTGGAATTAAACAACTGAACAAACAATGTTAGGTTCTGTTTGTTATACAGTTTAGCAATATCCATTTCCATTTCGGATTTATGACCACAAACTTTAGTGTTCATAGTAATATATTTACTATTTATGAATGTTTTATTCTTAATATTGATATGTGGAAGAAACATTATTATTTTTATTTATACATAGTTGTGTGTGTGTCTGTGTGTGTGTGTGTGTGTGTTTCCATGGCAATATTCATTTTTAAGATGAGACTTTTTCATAGAAAAAACGTAGAAAAACAAAATTTATAGGAAAACGTAATAATAATGAAGCATATTAAAGGTAATATAGACAAAGAGTCAATAAAGTTCATTGTATCACATAAGAGAAGTAGAGTTTAAAAGTATCTGAGGAAAGCTTGCAGTAATTCTTGCACGGAATTTTAGGAGTCACTAAATAGGTACATAATTGAACAATAACAACTTTAGAGGAATTTTAGCTTAAATCAATCAAATGGTATGACTTTTAAAGATGCCAATGAGAAAGAAAATAAGAAGAGTTAGTTTTTAAACTGTTTACTGAGACCACTTTCTTTGAGTGTTTTGTACTCCTTTTTCAGAATCACTGAAGTTATATATTTAATGTTATCTAAGTCCTACCTTCTTACTTCTGTTCTGTTTTTTCTTGTTTGGGTTCACAGACACACTTTTTCTGAAAGAATTTGGAACAGATGAATCAATACTTTCTCTGTTCCTCGCACACCTCAGTTGCAGTGTGACTTTTGTAGCCTTTGCATTTTCTTAGGAGGTTTAAAATTCTTCTTTAGTGGATATTTTCTCCCCAGGAGATGACCCACATATTCAAGAGGTTAAACCTCACATTTACTAATGCCACGTTTTTGCTCTTCCATCTTTCTTCTTATTCTCACCCTACCTCCTTCCCTTCTGACCTGATTTGAGATTGAAATTGTGTCATCTAGAGCTTCCTTCATTCAGCAGGGTTACAGGGATGGCTTGTATTCGAGAGAAGACAATAAAACAACTAACCACCTACTCAAGAGTATTTCTGAGCAAAGAATCTTTACTTTGTATCCTGCTGACAAACTGTCTTTCTTTGGAGGCATACAATTTCACGCACATTACACTCAAAAGGTGTTTGTCTTCTCTCACAATCCAGCTTTTCTCTTCAATCCTTTGTTTCTTTCTTTTTTTTTTTTTTCAGAAGTATAAAGCATATATTACTTATTCTAGCAATCATGGTGAATTTTCTTAGGAAATTGCGGGGAGAAGTACGCAATTTGGAAAGTGACTAGCAATGAATGTTTGATTAAAACAAACTTGTTATAGCACTTAAGACTTTCTTACTAGTCACGTTAGCCATTTGAATAGTTGTGTGCATGATTGTCCTTATGAACAGGAAAGAAAAATGAGCATTATTGGAAAATTGATATTTATAAATAATTTTTACTAAAAGAAAAATGTATTACACATTTAGCATTTAAAACAATCTAAATATTTAATTATAAACAGTTAAATACATCTTTGCAACTAATGTCCAAATGAGTGCATATTTAAATGTGTACACATTTGATAACTATTATGTAAATAAATTAGTACATATTTTTTAACTCATCGTGCTGAAATTAATTGATATTTTTAATTTTAGAAAGATCACAAAAATGTCCAAGGTATATTTTAATTTACAGTGTCTTTTTCTGTTTCATATATACAGTAGACATTGAATAAATATGTATTGAAGG